AAAACGACTGTCAACAGCAGAACAATAAGAGTAAATCTGTCGAACGTTGTGCTGCTTCTGCTCCAGATCATTTCAGTCTGATCTGAAGAGTCTGAGAGGAACGTTTCAGCACAGATTGTGGCAAAGTCTCCAAGATGCTTCAAGAGACCTACCTGCAAAGCTACAGTACTGTTAACAGTTTAGGTTAAAATGCTGTAAAATGAGGATACTGTCAAAAACTAATGTCATAAATAGATTTTCTTTATCAGTTAACTTCTATTTAAATTAAATTAAAATTTGGTGTGACCATCATTTGCGTTTAAATCAGCTTTTGCCCGTTTTTCAATAGCATTTTGGAGACGTTTGCCACAGTTCTTCTGGATTGAGTCTGTCTCAGTTTGTTCTGTTTCTTCATGTCATTCCAGACAGACTGATGATGATCAGATCAGATCTCTGTGTGCAGCACTGGCTGCTGTCAGACAAATATCTCACTGAATTACTACAAGTAATGGAAAAATGAATGTTTGGAAATGTAAACTGATATTTCCTACTGACACACTACAGCAAAAGATAGAAATAACTGACTTAAACCCATTTTTAGCTGGTGAAAATAATAGTTTTCTAATCATTTTGGCCACCGCTGTATATAGCCTATACATGCATGTATATGAGAAAGATATCTGTAAACAATTATGAACAAATCTGTAAAAGTCAATAATAAAGGCTCATCTTTGAATTTTATATTTTGTGGCGACTAAAATAGGAAATGTTTCCATTTATTCCTTTAACACATTGCATAATGCATAATCATCCTGCACATGCTATCTAATCTTAGGTAAATATGTTACAATTTATTCTTAAAGGGATAGTTCACCCAAAAATGAAAATGTGATGTTTATCTGCTTACCCCCAGGGCATCCAAGATGTAGCGCGTACACACCTCACGCACCGGATGCCGTGCACGCGCCCAAAGACAGTAGGACATAGTGGTGTATTAGAGGTCAAATATTATATCAATACTGTTCGGTTTCTGGCACAAACCGATCGTTTCGTGTCTTAGGACATCAATGTGTCGTCACGAGTCGCAGGGTTTAATCTGGATTTGTCTGTGCATGTTTTTTTTACTCTCATAGATTTTGTTACCATTGACAGGCATTATACGACTTATAGACTGCAACGGTTAAAGATAAAAATCATCAAATGTGTTCTACTGAAGAAACAAAGTCACCTACATCTTGGATGCCCTGGGGGTAAGCAGATAAACATCACATTTTCATTTTTGGATGAACTATCCCTTTAAGGGGGCATCTTCTCCTGTTTTTATTACCCTGTAGTTCGTTATTTATTATGAGAAAATTATGTTTTGTCTACATCATGGGAGCACATTTCCCCACAAGACTAGTAAAACATGCAATCACCCACAGTGTTGAGCAGCTAACGGTCCTCACGAGGAAAACAGCTTATTAAACAGGCTCATTAACATGCTGATGAAAATCTAAAAATGCAGAAACTTTATACGAGTGTTTGGGGGGTATACAATATCATTAGCTTAGTACAGAAACATTGCAGAGAAAAACAAATGTGTGTTTTGTAATGTTATCTTTCTCAGACTTTCTCATGGGCAGTATTTCGAGTATTTAGTGCAGTCGTGTGCTGCAGAGGGGCGGAGCTTGTGCAGAAGACGACCTGAAGGAAGACCGCGCGTGTGAGTCTGCAGGAAAAACAGTGCTGTCAGGTGCTGCTGAGTCTGACGGGAGGAGAGAGATGCTGACGGCCGGGGGAAGACTGTTCGCTTCCGCTGGGCTTGAGTGAGAAATGCAATACTCAAACCACCACTCTTTAACCTCGCGAACACCTAGCGAGCGAACCAAAAGAGACTGTAATAATGCAAACATCTTTCTAGTACCAGTAGCTATATATTTACGTTTCTCAGCGTAGAAAACGTTTATTTTCTCCTCCATTACACACAAATACACCTCGTGTAGTACTATCTGTCTTACATTCCCGTTCGTTTGCTCCGGTAATCGAGCTGTGTTGTGTTGTGTTGTGTCTCTGGCGCTGACTCAGCATCTCTGCAGCGCGCTATTGGCTCGCAGCCTGGGTTGAAGCATCTGTCTAAGCACTCAAAAGCATGACTGTGCAATTGTATAGCCGGCAAAAAGCAACTTTGTTGGGCCTTACAATTACATTCGAGCGTCTAGTGTTCCACTGCGGCAGGCGATTCCCTATCACGAAATCAACATAAGTCAGACATATGAGGCGAATGAGATACTAGAGAGAGAGAGAGAGAGTGTGTGTGTGTGTGTGTGTGTGTGTGTGTGTGTGTGTGTGTGTGTGCACGTTTTTGTGACAAATGAGGACATACATTTGTATAATGACAAAGGTATGACATAGGTATTACAAGGAGAAGGTGACTTTTCAGGACATTACCCCATGTCCCCACTTTTCAAAACACTTATAAATCACACAGAATGGAGTGTATTGAAAATCTGAAATAGCACAAAGTTTCCTGTGAGGGGTAGGTTTAGGGGTAGGGTTGGTGTAGGGCAATAGAATATACGGTCTGTACAGTAGAAAAACCATTATGCCTATGGAGAGTCCCCACAAGGATAGCGGACCAGACTGTGTGTGTGCGTGCGTGTGTGTGTTATATATGCTTCCATCATCCAAGAGCTAAATCTGGATGTGAGCATCACTGTCATTAGGGGACTTAAACCTGACTACACACAGACTCATGGGGACTCGTGTCACGGTGGGGACCTAAATTGTGGTCCCCACGGGTACAAAAGCTTATAAATCATACAGAATTAAGTTTTTTGAAAATCTAAAAATGCAGAAAGTTTCCTGTGAGGGGTAGGTTTAGGGGTAGGGTTGGTGTAGGGCAATAGAATATACGGTCTGTACAGTAGAAAAACCATTATGCCTATGGAGAGTCCCCACAAGGATAGCGGACCAGACTGTGTGTGTGCGTGCGTGCGTGTGTGTGTTATATATGCTTCCATCATCCAAGAGCTAAATCTGGATGTGAGCATAACTGTCATTAGCAAAAGGCCACTTTCCTCTCTTGATTGTCAGGTTCATATCTTCTATTGATTACCTATAATTTGTATTGATCAAGTTCCTTTGCAAAAGCTTCTCGTAACCTCTGACATATGTGTACTGTATTTCCCATCATGCCTCACTGCTGCCAGTATGTGTGCTGATTTTACTCGCCATGGCTATTATCTGGTTAAATTATTTAAGTGCATGGTAAACTGCAGTTTTATTGGGTTAGTCTTATTATCATCATCATATATTAATATCACAACATCTTGGAGATTTGCACCCTGCTAAACTTCTTTTAATATACATTTACATTAGTATTCAAGATGCGTTTTGATCCTCTGGGAACTTCCTTATGAGGAAGATGTAGTTATTATTATAGGAAGGCTCTTGGTCGTTTATTATGCATTGGAGTGAAAAGACTCCTGTGTGATCTGTAAAATGAATTAGAAAACTTCTTATAACCTTGGTACTTTGCTGCATTATTGAAAATTCCTGACAACAGAAGGCCAAATCCTCAGTGCATCAGCTCAGGCTGACAGCCGAATGGCTTTGTCTTGGCATGTGCACCGATTCAAGAGCGTCAGTGTCTATAGTAAAGCAAAATATTTTTAATAAAGTGATCAGTTAAAGAGGTAAATGTTATTATGCATGCAGTTTCATGAGTGCATATTAATTCAGAGACTAAATAGAATATATAATAAAATGATATAAACTTATTACATATATAATAAAATGACATGTAACAAAAAAAATTGTCAGCCATTATTATTTAAACTAAAAACAGAAAAGAATCTTATTAACAACGATAACTAGTTACAGCATCTAAAAATTCCCTATATATTTTCATACATTTTAAGGTCAAATTTTTATTAAAATTATAATAACCTTGCATTATTATTATCTTGTCATTAACTTTATGTTCTTATTTATTTGTTTGTTTGCTTGTTTGTTTATTTTCACTTGATTTTTTTTTTGTAATGTAGTGCTGCGTCGTTCAGCCTGTGATAAGTATTTATTATATTTTGTTCACTCACTTCACCTCACTGTGGAAACTGCATTTTGTGTATTTGCATTGCTCTGAATGTGCAATAAACCTGACTTTGCTTAAGTTTGCATGCATAAAAATACCAAAGATATTTCAAATGAATCCGAAGCTAAATTTATTGGCAAAGAATGTTGCACTTGCAAGGCATTTAACTTGGTGGTTTGATCCAAAGGACACAGCTAATTCAGAATAGGGCTAAAGGCAAGTTCAACACAAGGATTGGAAATATGTATTTCTTTTTATTAAATACTGATGGAGCAAATAAATATTTTGTACTCAAAACAGCATTTTTAAATCTTTTACTTTCACATAAAATCACAAAATTTATAGAAAGATAGATGATTTTTAAAGAAGTTAAAATAATTGGCTGGTAAAAGACTGGCGTAATGATGCTAAAAATTCAGCTTTGCTTCACAGGAATAAATTACATTTTACAATATATTGAAATATAAACCAGCTCTTTGAAAAAGTAATAATATTTCACAATATTACTGTATTTTTGATTGAATAAATGCAGAGACTTTTTTTTTTACAAAAACATTAAAAATATCTTAATTTATCCAAACTTTTCACAGACACAATACACGTTTAATCATGTAGATAAAGATTGCAGCTAGAGTGAGCATATAAAGTCTAGCTGCAATAAGTGATTTAAAAAGAGAGAAAAAATGCTGCAAGTGCACTAAACAACATGTGATGCATCTGAGTCGGTTTTAATGATGCAGAAAGTCACAGCCTCTTGACTTCACCTTTTATACAATTTTAAAAGACTTCGACTATTTTGGGGCACTGAGGTGAATTGCTGAGCAACCCAACGACCTCCATCTTCATCGATTTTCCAAGGGGAGGGTGCTGCTCCTGCCTCGTTGACAAAGTAAGCCGGCGTATAAATACAACAGGACAGAACGCAACCATGCCCTCACCACACCACCAATTCACAAGCACCATTCACCATGGACATGATAGTGGCCTCCCGCAGAAGGGCTCTGGAGACACGGAGTAACCGCGCGCCGTCCTCCACTATGCGCTCGTGGGCTAAAAGCAGTCCTATGTCTTTCAAAAGATCCACAAATATGGCCGCATCCAGGGCTGCGTACAGCCCCGCCGTGCTCGCGTCTCCAGAAGGCTTCGAGCTGAGCGCGGCGCTCAGTGGAGATCCGGTGCGCAGTAACGAGAAGGAGCAGCTCCAGGGGCTCAACGACCGCTTCGCCAGCTACATCGACAAGGTTCGCTTCCTCGAGGAGCAAAACAAACAGCTGGAGGCAGAGATCCAAGCGCTGAAGCAGCAGAACTTTTCGCAGTCCCTGCAAAGCGATGCGTACGACCGCGAGCTCCAAGACCTGCGCTGCGCCCTGGAGCAGCTTCACGTGGAGAAGGCGCAGATGCTGCTCGACACGGACCACGTGGATGAGGATCTGCAGCGGCTCCGGGAGCGCTACGAAGATGAAGCCAGGCTCAGAGAGCACACGGAGGCTGCGATCCGGGGCATGAAGAAAAACAAGGACGACTCGCTTCTGATGAAGCAGGAGTTGGAAAGGAAGGTCCAGGCGCTCGGGAACGAAATGGACTTCTTGCGGCAGAACCACGAGGAGGAGATCAGCGAGCTTCTGGCTCAGCTTCAAGCCGCGCAGGTGCCGGTGGTGGAGATGAGGGACCTCCAGAAGACCGACATCACCTCTGCGCTCCGGGAGATCCGCGCGCAACTGGACGGGCTCTCCTCCAAGAACCTCCAGCAGGCCGAAGAGGTGTTCAAGTGCCGCTATGCCATGCTGACGGACGCCTCGGAACACAACAAGGATGCTATGAAGTCCATACGGGACGAGATCGCAGACTACCGCCGTCAGATCCAAGCCAAGAACATTGAGCTGGAGGCTCTTCGTGGCACCAAAGATTCATTGGAAAGGCAGCTGCATGATATCGAAGACCGCCACAACACCGACGTTGCCAGCTATCAGGTCAGTTTATTTAAAAAAAAAAAAAAAAAAAGTAAATAGATTGTAAGTTTAACTTAAAATATTAAATGTATAAAAAATTCACTAATTAATAAATTAATACAAAAATAAAATACACAATTATATATTTTACGCAGTTTAATCATTACATCTAATTTAAATTCGAAAGAATTAAAATGTGTTCTCGTTGTTTTATGATTTGTATAAGATCTGGAAAAAAAAACTCAAAACAAATCCTTCTGCACTAGTATGATGGAAGTGTAAATAGTGCAGTTGAAATACTGGCTTTCGAATGCTTTTACGTAGTTTTCATGATATGACGATAGTGTTTTGTTCTTAGTGTGTGTTTATTTGCTGATTCAAAGGCACATGGCTGTGTTGCAAAATATACGATGGCCCAAAAATGCTGCACACTAGGTTTTAAACCGCAGCCATTATTTCACATGTGGTTTGCGCACTGCGTGCGTAATCATGCGCAACGAGCAGTGCGCATACTTTTTACTAGCGCTGCAGGATTTCATTTTAGTGGCCTGTTGACTTAGTTTGAGCCAGACCTGCTATAATTTATAAAACAAGTTCATCAAACAGATTTGGGGTGCTGCACTGGGTACTAAAAGAACCAAATGAGAACTTTAATTAATTTAGTTGTTTATTAAAAGTTGTTTCATAAAAGTGAACAGATTATTTTTAGTCAGTACTTCTTGTTTAAATTTAAATGCAATTTAATGAAGTTGTGAATTGATTTATTGCATCTGCTTCAACAGGAAATGATTCACCAATTGGAAAATGATCTGAAAGGAACAAAATGGGAAATGGCTCGTCATCTTCGGGAATATCAAGATCTGCTTAACGTCAAGATGGCACTGGATGCTGAAATAGCAGCTTACAGGTAGAGTTGTGCTCCTTTTTGCTCTATTGCATGTCGTTGATTTGATTAATGACAGTTTTCTCTCTCAAATGTAGGAAACTGCTGGAGGGTGAGGAGACGCGCTTCCGTACCGTCTCCGGAAGTATTTCAACCCCCGTGTTTGCCTACAGCCAGCCTAAAACCTCTAAGGTCAAACATAAAATAGTGGAGGAGATCATCCAGGAGACCAAAGGAGAGAGTGACCTTGACGATGATCTGGCAGAGGTGGCTAAAGAAGTGGCGGAAGAAGCTGGTGAGGGTGAAGAGGAGGAAAAGAAGGAAGAGATTGTCACCGCCAGTGAGGCCAAAGTGAGTTCTGCTGCTCCTGAGGCGGAAGAAGAGGAAGAGGCAGAAGGAGGAGAAGAGGAAGAAACAGCAGAAGAGGGAGAAGCTGCTGAGGAGGAAGCGGAAGCAGAAGAGGGGGAAGAAGCAGAAGAAGGCGAGGAGGAAGAGGAACAACAAGTGGAAGTGATCGAGGAGACAGAACTCTGCGGTGATAAATCTCCAACAGCAGAGAAAGAAGGCAGCGAGAAAGACGAAGAAGAAAAGAAAGAGGAAGAGGAGGATGAGGGTGGTGAAGAACAAGAGGCAGAGAGTAAAGAAGAAACCAAAGATGATGAGGAGGAGAAAGAAGAAGCTGATGAAAAAGAGGAGACCAAATCCGAAGGAGATGAAGAGAAGAAAGACGAGTCTGGAGGAGAGGAAACGAAGGCTGATTCAGAGAAGAGCGACAAAAAGAGCGATTCAGAAGAAGACGAGAAGAAATCAGCAGAAAAGGAGAAACCAGTAGAAGAAAAAGAAGAAAAAAAGGAAGAAGCCAGTCCGAAAGAAGAGGTCCAAACCAGAATAGAGGAAACCATCACCAATGGAGACAAGGAGAGCAAACCTGACACAGAGAAAGAGAAGAAGTCCGAGGAAAAGCCTCAGGAGAAAAAGAAAGTCACCAAGAAGGTGGAGAAAGTCAGTCCGCAGGCAAAGAAGGAAATCAAAGGAAAAGACTGATGCAAATGACTTTGACAGGGAATTAGTTATAATCAATTCTTAGAAATAATTCTATTTGATGCAAATGGCGTTTGATGCATCTGGCAAAAATAATTGCATGCATGGTAATGACTGACTTGCATGTGTGGTCTGGAGCCATGCTGAGCCGTCGCGACTGAAACAGAAACTATAACGCGTTTGAATTAAAGTGCAAGTACATTTATGCTGCTAATGACTCGAACGATGAGAGATTCTTCAGCAGTTGTTTGGCAATAATGGTGCTATAATATCATCACTCGCAGGCGTACTTTGAGCTGTAACTCCATTTCATTATTTCAAATGATATGATGTCTTTCTAGTATACTTCTTGCCTTAAGACATAATGCACTGACTCAATGATAAGACTCGGTTTGTTAACATGAAACACAACAGCTGTTAGCAATGATACTGTGAAAGCTAAAGGTGCTGCTCTTTGCAATATCACCTCAATCAATAAAAGCTGATCAAGACCTTACAAAACTGTGTGTTTGAATTTATTCTACTGTACACTGCTGTTCAGAAGCTTGTGTCTTATGTCTCAGAAGTCTCTTATGCTCATCAAAAATACTGGGAAAACTGTGAAATATTATTACAATTTAAAGTAAAAGTTTCCAATGTAAAGCTTTTTAAAATAGAATTTATTCCTGTGATTCAAAGCTGAATTACTCCAGTCTTCAGTGTCACATGATCCTTCAGAAATCATTCTCATATGCTGATTTGCCGCTCGAGAAACATTTCTTGTAAATGTTGAAAACAACAGGGTTATTAGAGTTAACTTAAAAATTCTAAATCATGTCTGTGACTTGAAATCAAATACATTTAACTAAAATAATATCAAAGGCAACATTTCTTATTTTTGCTTGAAGTAAAATAACTAAAACCAATAAATAAAAATTAATAAAACTGCAGACATTTGTTTTAAAAAATTACAAAAATAAAAAACAATTTAAAAAAAACGTTTAAAATTAAAATGATAACAGGAAATATAAAATAATATCTCATTAAAAATATGAACAAAAACTATAATAGTATATCAATGATACTAAAATAACACTGGAAAACAGTTGCGCTGCTTAATATTTTGTATTGACCATGTTTTTTCGCCATTTTCTTCCAGATTTATTGATAAAAAGGAAGTTTAAAAACTGCATTTATTTGAAATTGAAATTTGTAACATTTTAAATGTCTTTACTGTCTCTTTTGACCAATTTAATGCATCCTTGCTGAATAAAAGTATTAATGTCTCTTAATAGAACCAAATAGCACAAAGATTGTCACAAAAAAAGTAAGTTCACACATAAACCTAAACATTTATATTTTGTCACAAAGTCACCAGTGCAACCCACAATTCACAAAGTTGCTTCTCTTACTGCTTTCATAAAATGCTTCCTGCGTAACAAAAATATTAAGATTACAAATTTAAAAAAGGTTATCCTTCCATTAGAAGATAAAGTCCTTTAGATGTAAACTAAGATTAAAAGTTGGCAATAAAACCTTGATTTTTCTACATGGGCAAATGTAAAGAATGACAGCTAGACCGCAAAAGTGAAGCATGACTAATCTCACAAACGTTTCATCATGACATGGACATTAATCACATTTTTCTTCTCAAACGAGACCAGTCTCTATCTCCCACCATTAGTGTGACAGTGTGTAGCTCTCAATTAGGATAATGGAGAACATGTGCTGCACTGGCTTGTTAGAGCTTGAGCCAAGTGCTCTGGATCATCGGGTAACTGAATTTGCCGCTGAGGGGGCAGTAATTGGATTTGCATGCTTAAAAACACTAATTCTGCAATGCAAACGTTACATCAATACAGATTTGTGCTGATCACCGGGTCTGGCTTGGGATCACAACTTGGGTGACTGCGGCAAGCCGTTTGGCTGACACACTTAGTGCACAGTGGTTATAGTTCATGGATGAACTCTAATAGGGTTCAAACCTACAACTTTCAGATTAACAGCTCAGATTTTTACCACTCACCTCATGCATACATGCATGGATGTGGGACTCCAAAGCTGTGCTTTCTGTGGATTCTGCTCTGTGCTGTTCAAGTGCTGAATGTGCACATTGAATTATATTGCATTCAACCCATTATATTGATTACAGCTGTCATGAATAAATAATCAATGCACAGCGCTGTACTTGAGTTGATGGCTGCATACTAGCATATTTAGTGGGTTGTAGTGTACCTGATTGAGAACAGGGGCCGTGCGTGGAATCTCTGCAGTATGCAACATATATTGTGTGCAGTATGCACGTTTTCTGTATGCCTTAAATATATGGATTACCTCAAATGTGCAGCAAACAACAGAGCACACTACATGGGATACTGCATCCCACAATGCATCGTGCTCAAACTTCATTACAAATGAAGCGGAAGCAATTTTTCAGGATTTAAAGCAATAGTTCACCCTAAAATGAAAATTTGCTTGAAAATGTCTTCACCCTCAGGCCATCAAAGATGTAGATGAGTTTGTTTCTTCATCGGAGCAGATTTGGAGAAATGTAGCATTACATCACTTGCTCACCAATGGATCCTCTGCAGTGAATGGGTGCCGTCAGAATGAGAGTCCAAGCAGCTGATAAAAACATCACAATAATCCACAAGTAATCCACACCACTCCAGTCCATCAGTTAACATCTTATGAAGTGAAAAACTGAGGGTTTGTAAGAAACAAATCCATTATAATGGTGTTTTAATTTAAAACCTTTGCTTCAGGCCAAAATGCCAGTCCATAATCGATAATATTCCTTCTTCCAGTGAAAAGTTCATCCCCTGTTGTCCTCTCACATCAAAATCCACCCACATATTTGTTTAGGACTGTTTTGGCTTGTAAACTGTGTTTGATCTGTGCAGATTTCTCTCCTGATTCAGACAAGATGACTTTTTCACTAGAGAAAGTAATATTAGGGCTAGAAGGTAAAAACGCCTTAATGACTGATTTGTTTCTTACAAACACTCAGTTTTACATTTCACAAGATTTTAATTGATGGTCGTGTAGATTACTGTAATGTTTTTATCAGCTGTTTGGACTCTCATTCTGACGGCACCCATTCACTGCAGAGGATCCATTGGTGAGCAAGTAATGTAATGCTAAATATCTCCAAATCTATTCAGATGAAGAAACAAACTCATCTACATCTTGGACAGCCTGAGGGTGAGTATGTTTTAGCAAATTTTTAAGTTTTGGTGACTGATTCCTTTAATCAAATAGGCCCGCAAAGTAAAAACTAGATGCCACTCGATGAATTATGCATGCCACATAATTTAATTTGTTCTATGTCACATAATACCATAGCATACATTGTATACTGCACAGCTGGCATAGGCAGAAAAACAACAACAGAGCAACGCACCAAGTTAAGGAGGTTTATCAAGTTTTTATTAGTAGGCAATGAGCCTTTCTTTGAGGATCTGGTCTAAGGCATTTTGAATACTAAGCACACTTGTGTTATCATAGGCAGTTGACAGTGTGATTAATGCTGAAGCATACAGACACAATGCTCAAAGAATATTATTTGCATTTCAATAAATAAAAAGGCAATCGAAACAACACAAGCAACCTGCAATTACAACTTCCCTGCCAAGCGCAAACGTTAGACATGTCTTCATGCATAGGCTACTCTGGCTTTGGCCAAACTCTATAGTTGCATTTATTATTCTCATCTGCGTATATGGTTTGCTTTTAATTTGAACTGAATCTGAAATCGAGCAGCAGGACACAGTGAAGTTGTTGTTGAGATGTCTGCATGTGTGAGATAAATGCACGAGGTTTGATCACCTCCAGATAGCACCAGGGGTTTTGGTCCGGTGTGTTTACTTCTCTTTTGGCTTGGCTTTCTCATCTTTACTCTCTTTCTCCTCTCCTCCTTTCTTTTTCTCCTCTTCTTTTCCAGCGTCATCCTTCTCATCCTCATCTTCTTCTTCACCTTCTTCACCCCCTCCTCCTTCCTCTCCCTCTTTTCCTTCTTCTTCTTCCTGTTCTCCTTTATCCTCACCTTCTTTCTCTCCTTCCTCTTCACCTCCTTCTTCACCTGTGAAAGAGACAATAGGGTACAAATGTCAGCACTGAAAAAGGACTGGGTGTTACAAAAATTATATTTAGCATTTTGATTATATATGATAAATACATAAAAAATCTAGTTATAATCAACTTTTCTCACTAAATGAAGAGAAAAATGTAATATGAAAAATAAAATCATTTAGAATTAAATATTTTTTTTATTTATATGCACCACTATACAATAATAAATCAACAGTGATTTAAATTAAATTAAAATAAATTATATACAATGTATAAAAAACAAATGATCCTCACCCTCTTCTTTTTCTTCTTCCTCCTCCTCCTCCTCCTTCTCACCCTCTTCCTCCTCTACCTCCTCCTCCTCTTCCTCTTCTTCTTTCTCTGGACTTGCCCCGGCCTCCTGTGCCTTGCTTGCTTCAATGATTTCATCTGGTGTGGCAGAGTAGCTCATCAGTCTGGTTCCCAGAAGATAGGGGGCGCCAGAGGTCAGGCTGGCCTGCACAGAGAACACGGGACGGCCGAAAGAAGGAGTGGCGGCGATGGAGGGAGAAAACACACTGGAGATCCCACCAATACCGCCCACGTTGAAGCGTGTTTCTTCTCCTTCTAGAAGCTTCCTGATGGAATGTAAACACACTTATATTCAATATATATTTAAGTTTGGGGGAGATCAAATGTTATCAATGTAAAAAACCATATTGATTGACCAATTTTACGGCCTTGGTTATATAGATTACACATGTCAATTGCAATAAAGGTTTTACTACAAAATTGTTGATGTTACTAACCTGTAAGCAGCAATCTCAATGTCCAAGGCCATTTTCACATTGAGAAGGTCCTGATATTCTTTGAGGTAATGGGCCATTTCACTCTTCATGGTCCTTAGCTCATTCTCCAAATCACTGATGGTGTCCTGTCCGGGCAAAAAAGTATTTAAAGACCAAAGTTTAGCTTTTTATTGAGCAGAATTGCAGTATTTAGCTTTCCTGTAGCTGAAACAGTGGAACATGGCCCTAACAATGCCAAGAACATGGGTTCAGTTCCCAGGAAAAGCAAGAACTGATCAAATGTGTACTATGAATGCAATGCAAGTCACTTTGGATCTGCCAAATGCATATATTGTACATGTAGTTATCATTCTGACCTGTAGGGCGGCAATCTCTGCGCTCTGTTTCTCCTCGACCTCTTGCAATTGTCGCTCCAGAGCTTGGTTCAAGCCCTGGCATGCTTCAATCTCCAGGTCTCGAGCTTTCAGGAGGCGACGATACTCCCCAGCCTCGTCTTTAGCAGTGCGGATGTTCTCCGTGTGTTTGACCGTGTCACCCGCCATGGTGCTCACCTTCCCACGGAACCACTCCTCCGCAGCCTGGATGTTCTGCTGAGCCAGGCGCTCATACTGACCTCGGATATCTCGGAGAGCTACCGAGAGGTCCGGTTTGGCCACTTCCATCTCAACGGACACCTGGGCGCTGTATTGCACCTGGGCTTGGAGCTCGGCGATTTCACTTTCGTGGAGCCTCTTGAGGAAGGCCAGCTCATCCAGAAGATTGTCAGCCCTTTTTTCGAGCTCAGAGCGGGCCAATGCTGCATCGTCCGCCCCCTTCCTGGCATCCACCAGCCGTCTTTCGGCTTCCTCACGGGCCAGGACTTCTTCTTCGTAGCGACCCTGCAAGGCCTTGAGAGCCTCTTCCAGTCGGTCCCGCCTTTCTTGAGCCGCTTGGCGCTCCCTACGGGCCTCGTCTACGGCCGCACGGAGTTCCCTCGCCTCTTGCTCGTACAGCCCCCTGAGACGGGAGGGTTCGCAGTGCCTCTGGCGCAACAAGAGCAGCTCTGCCTCCAGGGCACGGTTCTGGAGCTCCAGGCCATGCACACGCTCAATGAAGCCGACAAAGCGGTCATTAAGGTCCTGAAGTTGAACCCTCTCCTGCGTCCGCACTGTTTTGAACTCTGAGCTCAGCTGAGAGGCCTGGCTCAGGTCCAGATCTGGTGATGCAGCAGAAAGCTGCAGACCTGCTGAGGAGGACAGAACCGAGGCACGGGACGGGGATGAATAGGTCGAATAGACGGAGCGAGAGCGACTGCTTCCTCCGCTGAAGGGCGTCCCGCTGTGTACCACCACCCTCCTCCGCTGCACTGACGGCAGATAGGGGTTGTAACTCAAGGAGCTCATGTTTGTTGAAGAGAGAAGAGAGAAGAGAGCAGAGACGGTTTCCGTAGTGCTGCTGCTGCTGCTGCTGTGGAGAGAGGTCTGCGAGGATGCAGCGACACTGGCAGGGCTTTTTATAGCAGGCGACGAGACTCTGACGCAGAGCTTTTTACTGACAGCATGAATCGATTACCTTCCAGTCCGGGCTGGGATGGGTTCTCGGGGAGTGGAGGGGGAAATTACAGAAATGGATTGGCAATGCAATACGAGAACGAATGTGAGAGAGTGAGCACAGCAGAAAGGGCAATGAGGACAAAGATTTCAAAAGCTTGTGGAGGAAAAACACTAGTCATCATGTGTGGCTTCACTGTACTGAATCCTTTTGTATTTGTTCCTTGCAGTTTTCAGGCTTTAAGCTGTTTCTAGCACTGAGATGAAAAATCTGCATAACATTTTCACATTCTTAAAAAGAAATCGGGGTGTATGAAAGTCGTTTTTTAATAGTCTGTGTAATTGTGTATATTCAATTGCACATGCCATTGAAATCTCTCAGTCACCAGGGGCCCTAAAGGCAAATCCGACTACAAACTAGATATAAACATTAACAGAAGCACTAACACAAGTAAATGCTTCTCTCTAGTGGTGGTTGAAGGTATTGTGAAAAAATCCATATCACATTTGCTTCACTGTGAAACAATGCAGAGTCATTGAAGAATCTGACACCTGGATCCTTTTTAAAAACGGTTCCTTAAAAACAATATTTCAGCCCAAAGGCTGATGCAGCAGGCAGAAGACAAAGTGATGTTTGAAAATGAGTTTATTGAACATACTGAAGGGCGTCCCGCTGTGTACCACCACCCTCCTCCGCTGCACTGACGGCAGATAGGGGTTGTAACTCAAGGAGCTCATGTTTGTTGAAGAGAGAAGAGAGAAGAGAGCAGAGACGGTTTCCGTAGTGCTGCTGCTGCTGCTGCTGTGGAGAGAGGTCTGCGAGGATGCAGCGACACTGGCAGGGCTTTTTATAGCAGGCGACGAGACTCTGACGCAGAGCTTTTTACTGACAGCATGAATCGATTACCTTCCAGTCCGGGCTGGGATGGGTTCTCGGGGAGTGGAGGGGGAAATTACAGAAATGGATTGGCAATGCAATACGAGAACGAATGTGAGAGAGTGAGCACAGCAGAAAGGGCAATGAGGACAAAGATTTCAAAAGCTTGTGGAGGAAAAACACTAGTCATCATGTGTGGCTTCACTGTACTGAATCCTTTTGTATTTGTTCCTTGCAGTTTTCAGGCTTTAAGCTGTTTGATGAAAAAGCACTTTTAAGCACTGAGATGAAAAATCTGCATAACATTTTCACATTCTTAAAAAGAAATCGGGGTGTATGAAAGTCGTTTTTTAATAGTCTGTGTAATTGTGTATATTCAATTGCACATGCCATTGAAATCTCTCAGTCACCAGGGGCCCTAAAGGCAAATCCGACTACAAACTAGATATAAACATTAACAGAAGCACTAACACAAGTAAATGCTTCTCTCTAGTGGTGGTTGAAGGTATTGTGAAAAAATCCATATCACATTTGCTTCACTGTGAAACAATGCAGAGTCATTGAAGAATCTGACACCTGGATCCTTTTTAAAAACGGTTCCTTAAAAACAATATTTCAGCCCAAAGGCTGATGCAGCAGGCAGAAGACAAAGTGATGTTTGAAAATGAGTTTATTGAACATATGTAACGCCTATGGCTCAATCTGACCAGAAACAATTTCAACAAGTATTATTACATCAAGCAAAGAACATGTTAATGCTTTTAAAAAATATTTTTACTTTGCACAATTACTGTGCACAAATTAATGAAGCCAAAAAATTACATAAAGATACTAGTAAACCTCAAATAAAAGTGTGAATAAGGACAGTAAGCCTAATAAAATATTTTAAATGTTTTTAAATAATGTCAAATTTAAATAACATACTTCAGCAGCAAAATCTGAAAATAACTGTCCCATAAATTGTTTCTTGTGCTCAAATGTCATTTAAAAAAAAGCTTATATTTCGGGATGGTCCAGCCAATGTGCAAGTGTAGTCCTAAACGGGCATCTCAGGACACTGACTGTTTCTATGGCAACAGGAGTTTCTAGTCAGTGGCTGCATCTGTATTTGCATACTCCCCTACTGTATAGTAGACGAAAAACAGTATGTGACAAAAGAAGTATGTAGGCAAAAATGACCCAGATCACCTTCTACTTCCGACGTGATTCTGAAGTGTGCATACAATGGATGCTTTACTATCCCATGAGGCCACGGGAGAAGATGTCATGTGACAATGACAACATGGCAAATGTAGTAGGTCCAGATTACATTGACACTACTACACACATTCCTACTCTTTTTGCTGTTGTGTGTACCTACTCAAGAGAGTATGCGATTTCGGATGCAGCCAGTGACTTCAATTCATGATTTGCTCTTTTATTTAGAAGGTGGGATATGTATTCCACCATATTTCATGTGATGCCCTCATTTAGATATCACGCTGATATTTGGGGAAAACCTAACTCTGGCTCATTACATATCATATATATATATACAAATACACACACATATACATATATACATACAATAAACAATTTTAAAGCATAGCCATTTTTTGCCCACTGACAAACAGTCATCTAGATTAACTGCTCTCATAATCTGAATATACAAGAAAATAAACTTTTGCTACAGTTACATTAAATTGCAATTACTAAATTAGTTAGTTACTTTTGGTAATGATAGGAGGCTGTTCACGCTGATATAGAAACACTGAACCATAAACTGCAAACCCAGCGTAGAGTGGTTCAGTGAACTTGGTTTTAAATGTATATATATGTGCGAGAGTATGTATGTCAGAGACGTCGTAAAAGGACACAGTGCCGGCCAGCCTGTCCAGATACACTGCTACTCTGTTTGAGGGTTTTGATGGGAAATTGGCATCTGTTTTCTTGTTATCGTGCCAGGCGCTATATCCATCAGGGGTACAGAAAAGACTCCAGGACTTATCATTCCACCCAAATCTACAGTCATTCCCTCTTTTTTTCCCTTTATTTTCTTTATATGTCACTGCAGCATAAGCCCCCCCACTCCATTCAACCTCCCAGTAACAGCGTTCAGACAGAGTTTCTCTACACAGAACCTGCTCCTGGTGTTCAAATCTGTCTGGATGATCAGGATATGGCTGCTCTTCTTCCACATGTGTTGCCTTTCTGTTCCCCTCAGACAGAGCGAGATGAGGGTATGCAGTGTTTGGATCCAGCGTAAGATCACAGGCATCTGAATACAAGAGAAATTAGAACAAAAGATGCAGGGTCATAACCACCATAAACATTGAGGGCGATGTCTCATCGATGTCAAAACAGCCGCTTTTCCACTGTCGGGCCAAAAGCGAGCATGTTAGTGCGTGCCAGGGCCAGTCGCATTTCTACTGTTACTTCTGGGGCTTGATCGTGCCTCATCAAGGCTTCCTCGGGGCAAACGGCCAAGGATTTTTTGGCCCGCCGAATACCTTGGGCCAAAGCTGGCCAACTGGGGCTAGAGGAGTTGTCAGAGGCAGAGTTTATCATAGTTAGGAGACAGTCGGTACCACTTCTCATTTCCCATGTTTTCATTTCAAGCTACCAGCTAGCATCATTTAATACCATTTTAATGGCAAAACTCACTTTCAGGCAACAGCAAGTGTCTGAATTAACTTACGATTGCGACCCAATGGAAATCTTGATCACTGTATGAGGCAGAAATGTATTATATGCTGCATATGCTAAAGATCGCTGTAATAAAAACACGTTATGCTTACGAAAACAACAGAGACCGATTGAAGAACTTAAATATAAAATAAAAACTGTATAATCCTCACTGTACAAAAAAGATATGCTACAAAGGCTATTCAGACAAGAGCAGTGATTTTCTCTTTTTCTTTTGTTGTTTGATTAACATTAGGAATAGACAACAGTGGGTATATGAGGCTGCTGTCACTTTAGGACCTAATGCACAGATCCAATATATTGACACACATCCAATTTTTTCCCTACTGTTTACATTAACTTAAGACATAACCAGCTACATTTATGCGAATGCTCACCAAGATGGGTATTTTGACACATAAGTGTGTGTATTTGACCGTTCTTTCACAATGGAGTAAGTAGGAGAAATGAAAGACGGGTTTAGTGCATGTGCTTAAGGTGTTTGTTGTCAGCATGCAGGTGGAGAGGAGCACGTTCTCCACACTTTGAAAACCCCTGACATAGATCATACTAATATATATGTTAAATGTGTGTGAATACATGTGAAAGAGATAGAACCTACATTTTTGTAGTCCTGGTTTGATCCTGAAATCTCCAAAATGGTCTGAACTATAAAACACAAACAAAAAAGTGGTAAAAACCTGGTTTTTAAAAAACAAAGAGCTGGATCATTAGGTATTAGAATCAGACAAAAATCAAAATCAAAACAAAGAGCTGGATCAACATTTCTCAGGTAGAGATAGCAAAATTAACTATTTGCACACATTTTTCTCTCTCAAAAAATGTGTCATAAAACCAACATACTTGAGTTTCTCCAGTTTGCAGTCTGGATTTTCTAACAAAGCAGAAAACATCTCGACTCCTGCTTCTCCTGGGTGATTGTAGCTCAGATCCAGCACTCTCAGGTGTGAAGTGTCTGAATTGAGAGCTGAAGCCAGATTACAACAGCCTTCCTCTGTCACCATACAACCAGATAACCTAGATGAAGAATAATTAAAAGTGAGATTGGGATTTCAGGTTGCACAAATGAATTAATGCATTAGAATATTGAATGTTATGATGATCATTTATCGGAACTTGAACTTATTAAAAAAAAAAAAGAGCCCAACTCTAAGCCAAAAGTATGTTTCAGAGATGTCAGTTTACTGTTACGTCTCACGCACAATATGCATGAAGTAAACGAACTATGCAGCCTACATTATCCAGCCTTACGCACATTCGCCTGTCTGAACACAAATGTACTTATCGGTGGGTCCAGTAGGTATCAACAGTCACAGCTGGGCTGCTGTTTTTTAAAAGTACTCAAAGAAGATAGAAAATGGCCATAAAACAAATGGAAGAAGTTCAGAAGTTATTTGTGAGTATTAGGATAACACAACTCAGTGCTGTTCTCTGCTGGTCAAGTGAAATATCACAAAGCAGTGCACACGGGCAAAATGGCAGACATACAAGACAAAGCGTACTCCAGGTATTACTCTTACCTCAGTATCTCCAGCCCACAGTTTGGACTCTTCAGACCAGCACAAATGAGCTTCACACCAGCATCCTGCAGGTCATTGTTACTCAGGTCCAGCTCTCTGAGGGGCGAGTTTGATGATTGTAAAGCTGACACCACGATTTCACAGCACTGATCTGTGAGATTACAGCAGGCAAGACTGAAAGAGAGTTAAACACCGTTTCAGTTTATGTAATGGACATTTGCAACATGATGTTAATAGTCAATGATATATATATATATATACACCTATACATATATTTAAAACGGAAATCATTTGTAACAAATACACTACTGTTCAAAAGATTGGGGTCAGTAAATTTTCTAAAAGAAATTAATACTTTTATTTAGCAAGGATGTGAAATATCACAAAGCAGTGCACACGGGCAAAATGGCAGACATACAAGACAAAGCGTACTCCAGGTATTACTCTTACCTCAGTATCTCCAGCCCACAGTTTGGACTCTTCAGACCAGCACAAATGAGCTTCACACCAGCATCCTGCAGGTCATTGTTACTCAGGTCCAGCTCTCTGAGGGGCGAGTTTGATGATTGTAAAGCTGACACCACGATTTCACAGCACTGATCTGTGAGATTACAGCAGGCAAGACTGAAAGAGAGTTAAACACCGTTTCAGTTTATGTAATGGACATTTGCAACATGATGTTAATAGTCAATGATATATATATATATATATACACCTATACATATATTTAAAACGGAAATCATTTGTAACAAATACACTACTGTTCAAAAGATTGGGGTCAGTAAATTTTCTAAAAGAAATTGATACTTTTATTTAGCAAGGATGTGTTAAATTGATAAAAAGTGATGGTTAAGACTTTTATTGTTAGAAAAGATTTTGAATAATTTTGAATAAATGCTTTTATTAAATGCTTATCAATTGTATTCATCAAAAAATCCTGAAAAAACTATCACTGGTTCCAAAAAAATATGTCAATCAAAAATGATAAATCAACATATTAGTATGATTTCTGAACGATCATGTGACGATAAAGACTGGAGTTATGGCTGATAAAAATGCAGCTTTGCATCACAGGAATACATTGTATTTTAAATTTATATTTATACATTTATATTTTTTAATTATATTAAATTGGAAAACTGAAAAAATACAAATTTGAATTTCTGATCAAATAAATGTAGCCTTGATGAGCAATTAACTTGAAGCAAATTGATATTTGACTCTTTACTTTGCTTTTCTGCAGTTCATCACAGCCGGTACCAGTCTCCTTCTGCCCTCATCTGATGTGTTGTATTTCTTGAGGTCCAGCTCCTCTAGAGCTTCGTCTGACATCTGGAGCATGTAGGCGATCGCTGAGCAGTGAGACGGAGAGAGTTTATTCTGTGAGTCTTTGTCTGATTTCATAAACTCCAGAATCTCTCTAACCAGAGTCTGATCATTCATCTCCAGCAAGCAGAGAAGAAGGTTGATGGATCTGTCAGCCGAGAGACCTTGTTCCTGTTTGATTTTGTCTTTAATGTAAGCTGCTGTTGTCCTGATGCTCTCAGAGCTCTTCTCTGTGTTTGTCAGCAGACCCTGTAGGAGACTCTGATTGGACTCCAGCGAGATGCCCAGCAGGAACCGCAAGAAAAGATCCAGGTGTCCATTCTCAGTCCGAAGAACCACATCTATCGCTCCTTTCTGAAAATTTGGAAGCAAATCAAACACTTTCACAGCATCTGAAGTGTCATTTATAAAGCTGTAGAAAACATAAAACGCAGCAAGAAACTCCTGAAAACTCAGATGTATAAAGCAGTAGATTTTCCTCTGATGAATCACAGATTCCTCCTTAAAGATCTCGGTGCAAATCCCAGAATACACTGGGATGTCAGTGGCATCTATGCCGCTCTCTCTCAGGTCCTCCTCATAGAACAACACATTGCCCTTCTTTAGCTGCTTGAAAGCCAGTCCAGCAAGTTTCACAATCTTGTCTTTGTTGAACTGCAGGAGCTCCTCTGGATTTCTCCCACTGGATCTCTCTTCATACTTCTGATAACTCATGTTCATCTGAGTGAGCAGGAAGTGGATGTACATCTCAGTCAGAGTTTTAGGGATTTCTGCACTGTTATTTTGTTTCAGGATGTTTTGAAGGACAGTGGATGAGATCCAGCAGAAGACGGGTATGTGACACATGATGTGGAGGCTTCTTAATCTTTTAATGTGTGAGATGATTCTGCTGGCTTGATGCTCATCAGTGATTCTCTTTCTGAAATATTCCTCCTTCTGAGATTCATTGAATCCTTCAATTTCTGTCAGACGGTTGATGTATTTGGAGGGGATCAGACTGGTTGCTGCTGGTCTGGAGGTGATCCAGATGAGAGCATTGGGAAGCAGCTCTCCTCTGATGAGATTAGACATCAACGCACCAACTGATGAAGACTCATTCACATCAGAAACGCTCTCATTTTCTGAAAACATCAGTGTAATTCTGCTTTCATCCAGACCATCAAAGATAAACACAACTTTACACTCCTCAAGAATCTTTGAGTCCAGATCTTGAAGTTCAGGATAAAATTCCACCAGAAGTTTGTGAAGACTGTACTGGTGATCTTTAAACAAGTTCAGCTCTCGAAATGAAAGCACAAACATGAGATCTACATCCTGATTGGCTTTTCCCTCAGCCCAGTCCAAAATGAACTTCTGCACACAGACTGATTTTCCAATTCCAGCGATGCCGCTAGTAAGAACAGTCTTGATTTGGACTTTTTTCTGCTTTTCACATCCTGGCAGAAGTTTAAAGATGTCGTTGCAGTCAATTGGAGTCTCTTGGAGCATCTTGTAATTTTGCAAATCCTTCTGTAAGATCTCATGTTCTTCATTCACCCTTTCACTCTCTCCCTCTCTGATGTAGAGCTGTGTGTAAATGCTGTTCAGGAAGGTTTTATTCTCTTGTAATTGAATTCCCTCAAATAAGCACTCATACTTGCTCTTCATGCTTGTTTTGTGTCTCTCCTTGAGCAAATCAACAGTGCTGCGGGGAGGAGAACCAGCAGGACTGGATTTGGACTGAGCATCTCTCTCCATACTGAAGAAACACAGCAAGACAAACCACATTTCTTGATTACAATCTGAAGGTAGATTTAGTAGAGTAATTTTACAACTGTTTTTATGAGTGCAAAATATGTAATACAATAAACAATAATAAAAGATGTAATAAAAATAGTTAAAAAATAAACACCAGTGTTTTCTATTAATTAGCCACCACAGTCTATTTTGTCCCGCTACAGTTCCAATTTGAATCAATCTGAAATTGCAATATGGCTTAGCGGGTGTTTACATGACATCATTTTTAACTTAAAACTGAAAACTGTGTTTTGCCCATTCATTTACACCACAGTGTTTTGGGGGGTCTGAAGATGCAAACCTTTGAACGTTTTCCAAAGTGCAAGTTTTTGAAAACAATAACGTTATCTGTAAACTAAGAAAATGTGTATTTGTGAAAACGGTGACATTATGCGCATGTGTATTACATGTTCAATCTATAGGAATGCATATGTGCATATGCTCGTAGTGTTTCTTTAAAAAGTCACATCGCCAACTACTGGCCTGGTATGCACAATACAGCATTTTTAGTCGTTTCCATAGATCCATGTGAACGGAGATCATTTTAACAACGTTGTCATCTATATGTAAAACTTTTCAAAATGCAAAGGAAAATTGTTGTTTTAAGTACCATCGTTGTTGTGTAGACACCCCCTAATACGACTATAAAAATTGCAATAGGCTGCCATATAAATTAAATGTGACCCTGGACCACAAAACCAGTGTTAAGTCGCTGGGGTATATTTGTAGCAAAAGCCAAAAATACATTGTATGGGTCAAAATTATTGATTTTTCTTTTATGCCAAAAATCATTAGGATATTAAGTAAAGATCATGTTCCATGAAGATATTTTGTAAATGTCCTACTGTAAATATATCAAAACTTAATTATTGATTAGTAATGTGCATAGCTAAGCACTTAATTTGGACAACTTTAAAGGTGATTTTCTCAATATTTAGATTTTTTTGCACCCTCAGATTCCAGATTTTCAAATAGTTGTATCTCAACCAAATATTGTCCTATCCTAATTTATTCAGCTTTCATATTATGTATAAATATCAATTTCGAAAAATTTACCCTTTTTGGGTTTTGTGGTCCAGCGTCACAAATGTTTATTGTCTGTTGTGCTATGTGTTTCAGAGTAAAGTGCAACACTGTGTTCATTTACATGCGTGCAGCTCATGATATTTCGCAGTAAATGCAGCACACTCCGTTTCTGCAAGCAATAAAAGTTCAAGGATTTCCCAAAATCTTGTATAATTTAGCCAATCCGATGACGATTTCATATGCATCAGACGTTCAGCCAGCAGTCCGTGGGCATGACGTCTGAGGGTGAGACTACTTACAGAGTGCCAAGAAGCTCTTTCAGAAAGGCAATTTGGAAACAAACGTGCGATTCTTTACTTTGTCTGGAGCTGACGTTCGTGTACGAAGCGTTGGTATTGATCCCTAAACATATAGGGGACTTTACCATTTTTTTCCGAGATATTTTCTTTGAAAATGTAATTTAACCACAGTGTCCTCAGCGGCTTAGATGGAGGGAGTCTATAGAGACCCCTATGTTCGTTGGTGCATCCCAACAAATAACACTTGTAATGCCTCATAGCACTGACATTGTATATCTCCAGCAGCTAATAAGAAAACAGTAATGGCGGACTGCTGCTTCTCACTCAGGGCTGTGTCTATGCTAAGAGGGCAGAGAGTGTCACAAATGAGCGGGACTTTTTCCTTATGGTGACGTGAAATCTATGGAGAAATCTCAGTAGCCCCTCACTGCAGAACAAAGATCCAGGGGGCGGGGTTGGATCCACATCTAGGGGGTGGAGATGGTAGGTTTAGGGGTGGAGATGGGTGGGTTTAGGGATCAGGGGGTGGAGACGGGTAGGTTTAGGTATATGTATGGTGGGAGGAGTTGGATCTGGATCCAACCTCACCCCCTGGATCTTGTGTTCTGTAGTGAGGACCAGCTCAGAAATCTGGAACTGCTCGTTTGGAGAGACTGATTTATCTGTAGTATAAAAAAATGAGTGGGTGGATTTTTAACATTACATAGGCTGGTTGTTTTCACACGCTGCGGCCACACAACTGTGTTTTTTGCATAATAGGTCCCCTTTAAGGTTTGAAATTGAAGAAATTAAGTATTGTACTGTAGTTTTACTACTTTAAAGTAAATTTATTAAGAATGTTATTAAATGGTATTATTTTACACTGTAGTTACATTACAAAAGTAATATCCTAGAATTAATAATAAAAATGTATTATTATTATTACATTTAAATTGTTAGCTTTGCTACAAATAAACAAAAGAGTGAATGCATTGTGGTTAATGTGAGACACAAAGTTTTTTGTATAAATCAATGCAAAGTCTCTTTATTCTGTTCAGTTTGGTCACTGAAAGAGGTTTGAGCTTTAGTTCTCAAAGTGCACCAAACTGCTGCTTTTATCTTTAAATTTTTTTTAAAAATTCTTCTGGCAGAGTCTGTTCCAAAGTCCACCCACCACAGTCTCACAAAATCCTATGGGGAACACCCTTAATATAGCTTATTAAAAAAATATCAAACAGCAATATACTGTGTATTCAGGTACTTGATTTGAATGCATTTGAGCATATGCCACAACACCGACATGTCAGGAATTTACATTTTAAGTGTCCTATATCATACCTGGGGGAGTCAACAAAGGAAATGTGTACACATTCATTTAGTTTCTTTTTTGCCTGTATAACGCAGCAATTTATAGAAGCAGCGCCTAGTCTTACCTGGGGTCAGAAGGCAATGAGCCATCACTGAAGTCAGGCTGTGGAAGGAGAAGACTGCTCAGTGACACATTGCTGGGTTCTGGAGATCCTCTTCTCCATCTCTTCGCCTCTCCTTCCATATCTTTCAAAAGGTTAGAATATGTTAACCACATGAAGTTTTTGCCATTTTTTTCAAACTCTGGTACAAAAATGTACCTAATTGAATTGATCATTTAAATGAAATAGGTTATACCAAATTTAAATAATTAAAAACCTAAAATACTACACTGGAACAGGGTTATAACAGTGTTGCAAGAAAAATAAGTGCAACTTTAGTCTAATTTAAGCTCAGTACTTTTTTTGAAATGTTGTTATTAATTATTGCTTATTAATCATCAGAATGACAATTCTGATTATTCCAAAATTTATTTTAATATCTATGGAAAGCACTGAACTATATAACTATAAAATAGAATGAAATAAATAGTGCTGTCAAACGATTAATCGTGATTAATCGCACCCAAAATAAAAGTTTTCGTTTACATAATATATGTATGTGTACTGTTTATTTATTATGTAAATATAAATACACACACATACAATATATATTTGGAAAATATTTACATGTATATACATTTGGATATTTATATTCTTATATTTTATATTATATATAAATATATATGTAATATATAAACATAACATAGTTTTCTTAAATATATACATGCATGTGGTTGTATTTATATATAAATAATAAACATACACAATATACACACATATATAATGTAAACAAAAACTTTTATTTTGAATGCGATTAATCTTTTGAAAGCACTAGAAATAAATAATAGAATGAAAGCGCCCACAAAACACTATTTTCTTCTCTTTTCTATTTTTATTATTATTATTATTATTATTATTAATGCCAAGGTACCAAAGATAGAAGTACAGAAAATATCAACATTACGTTCAAAAAGGTGAAATTACACGCAAAGCACCGTTTATACTTGTATATAACACTGAATAAATAGTAAAAAACAAAATTAAAAACACAATATACACACATATATAATGTAAACAAAAACTTTTATTTTGAATGCGATTAATCTTTTGAAAGCACTAGAAATAAATAATAGAATGAAAGCGCCCACAAAACACTATTTTCTTTTCTTTTCTATTTTTATTATTATTATTATTAATGCCAAGGTACCAAAGATAGAAGTACAGAAAATATCAACATTACATACAAAAAGGTGAAATTACACGCAAAGCACCGTTTATACATGTATATAACACTGAATAAATAGTACAAAACTAAATTAAAACAAAATTAAAGGGTTAGTTCACCCAAAAATTCTGTCATTAATTACTCACCCTCGTGTTGTTCCAAACCTGTAAGACCTCCGTTCATATTCGGAACACAATTTAAGATATTTTTGATGAAATCTGAGAGCTCTCTGAGCCTCCCATAGACAGCAAGGTAACTACCACATTCAAGGTCCAGAAAAGTACCAAGATGATCGACAAAGTAGTCCGTGTGACATCAGTGGTTCAACTGTAAAGTTACGAAGCTACGAGAATACTTTTTTTGCGCAAAGAAAACAAAAGTAACGATTTTATTCCACATTTTCGTCTCTACTGCGTCCCTTGTGGACGCGCGTTCCCGACAGTATCATGACGCGAGCGTGTGGCGGCGCTGACCCAGATCCGGCGTAATGACGTCAACACGCCCTGTCTATGGGAGGCTCAGAGAGCTCTCAGATTTCATCAAAAATATCTTAAATTGTGTTCCGAATATGAACGGAGGTCTTACAGGTTTGGAGCAACACGAGGGTGAGTAATTAATGACAGAATTCTAATTTTTGGGTGAACTAACCCTTTAATTAAAAAGATGAAATAAATTAACGGCTTTAACAGCTATAAGATTCTTGGAAGATGAAATAGTTTGGATATACTGTTGAACTTTTTAAAAAATAATTATAAATAATGATTTTGATGAGTGAATTTACTGCAGTGGATATGAAATTTTGCAAGAAGTAATAATAGGTTAATAATAAAATATTCATTAATGTTACCTTTTTATATATTAAAGAATCCAAACAGTACATCCTTAAAAAACAAAGAGAAACCCTGGAGCACACTGCGATTAATAACATTAGAGAATTCAATCCAAAATGGCTGTGTGTGAGCTGTGAGGACAATCCCAGAAGATACGCACATCAGTTTCATCAGGGCCACCACGAAAAAAGAACAGCTTTTATCTATGTCCGATTTAAACACTATCAAAAACACTTTAGCTGGGTAAAATCTGTGTAACAATTTGACACTATTTTATTTTATTTGTCAATATCAGGTGACGTTAACACTCTCCACCTACATTGTTTGTTTACAAAGCCGTGAACAAACAGGGTTTTCTTATTACGTGCTAAATCTTCTTTAAGACGTCTTGAAAAGTTAATAAAGCTTAATAAAACATCATAAAAAAATTATTTAAAAAAAAGTCAAAACTGAAACAAACATTTAGCGATTAAATTCTACAATCTGCGTCTACCATACGATTCAAGTGAGATGGAGATACAGCGTATGTCACTTTATTTAAACTACAACAGTGTAGTTTCTAATTGTACATCAAACAGATGTCTCCGTGATGTATCAGACAATGAGAAAACGAACTTACTGTGAATTTCTATCACTCTTTTCATCCTCAGCCCTGTCCAAAACTAAACGTCGATGAAAAACATCCTTCAGTCTGTTACTTTCGCTTTTGGTTTTAGTGACAGACTTCCGTATTTTGTGGCCAGGTAGCCTATCGTCACTTCCGGTTCAAATGTAATGCGCTTCACATTTGCTTGGAGCTGTTTTAATCAAGATGCCTTCAAATGAGCTACCAAATTATCATAACCGATGGCCATCACATATGAAGAATGAAATTTAAAAGTTTGTTTTTATTTTTATTCCTTTCACTAACATTCGGCTATTAAACCTAAATAAGACGCCAACTATACAAACAACTAGGTTAGCTGATTACTTTAAAGGGATAGTTCACCCAAAAATGAAAATGTGATGTTTATCTGCTTACCCCCAGGGCATCCAAGATGTAGGTGACTTTGTTTCTTCAGTAGAACACATTTGATGATTTTTAACTTTAACCGTTGCAGTCTATCAGTCGTATAATGCATGTCAATGGTAACAAAATCTATGAGAGTAAAAAAAACATGCACAGACAAATCCAAATTAAACCCTGCGACTCGTGACGACACATTGATGTCCTAAGACACGAAACGATCAGTTTGTGCCAGAAACCGAACAGTATTTATATCATATTTTACCTCTAATACACCACTATGTCCAAATGGCTTTAGGCGCGCACACGGCATCCGGTGCGTGAGGTGTGTACGCGCTCTGGCGTAGTTTACACAAGCGCCGGAAGTGATCTCTCGCGCGTATACGTCACTCATTGTTTACACAGTGCACAGTCATTGTAGGTACGACGGCTAATCAAAATGGTACTTACTTACGCTTATCCAGAAGTCGCAGGGTTTAATTTGGATTTGTCTGTGCATGTTGTTTTACTCTCATAGATTTTGTTACCATTGCCATGCATTATACGACTGAATTTGTGTTCTACTGAAGAAACAAAGTGACCTACATCTCGGATGCCCTGGGGGTAAGCAGATAAACATCACATTTTCATTTTTGGGTGAACTATCCCTTTAACCCTTGTGCGACATTTTTCGGTTTTGTTTTTTATAATTTTGCCTGTGTTAATGCCAACTGCATACATTTTGGCACAGGTGTGTATTTTTATTGGAATTTTAATAAGTCACCCTCATTTCCTTTAATAAATCTATTTTACACTAGGTACAAAAAATAGTTAATCACAGGACCTTTTTAGGACAAAAATGTCCTCATTGAAACCCATTAAAACTGCAATTCTCCCCCCAGGGCCATTTAACTATAAAATGATGCAATAATTGTTAATAGGCTTTCATTCTATTGGCGAGGCTTCAAAATTAAAAAAATTTTACTAGATGGTGCCATTTTTCAGGTTTGGCATATAAAGCAAATACTCACTTTATTCCTGTTTTCTGCTTATGCATATTATAGTCTATTATAGAGTCAGTTGGATAAATTGTGCAGCTATAATTGTGTGGGTGTGTTGCTATGGATGTCAGAGTGTGGTTTGTATGTGTGTCCTAAATACAATTTTTGTGTGTTTATGTGTGCGCACCTGTAATGTTTGATAGAGAGAAATTATACTGTAGTGCGAATCATAAATCCCACCGCTGTGTATGCCAGCGGAGCTTTGCTGGGATCTAATTGTTAAAAGTTTGGTTCTGTTCTGCACCCAAATAAAATCTTACTAAAAGCTCATTTGTTTTGAGATATCAACCTCAAATTTGGAACACAAGACATATTGTTTTATGGCTTTAATTTTCTATCAATTTTTGAGTTCAAAATGTTTTATAAAATATATATTTTATATACAAAAATGACTCATAAATCATAAACCTCTATAACTTTTTTAATTTCAACAATAATCCCAAGCTTCAAATTTTTATGACAGTTTTTTGACATGGACATTTTTGTCCTCTATGAACATATGTGTAACTTTTTTTTAAATTGACACACAAGGGTTAAAAGTACATAGATATCGGCATCAGCTCACCCTGCTGTTAACACTTTCTCCGACAACCGGATGCCGTGAGACCTGTTTTCTGTTTTTGATCAGACCTAGTCGGCAGGTGAAAATAGTTTGCATGTGAGTGTTCAGATCAGAGCCAGATGTTCTCAACTCTGGCCCTCGAGATCCACTTTCCTGCAGAGTTTAGCTCCAACATTGATTAAACTCATAATATGTAAAGAATAATTAGAAGGCCAACCAATTCGGAATGGAGAATGCATACTAAACATTTGCATACTGTGCACTAACCAGGTTTAACATGCAGCATAATGCCTGTGGTTTGTGTTCATTCAATTAAATGTTACATTACTCATTTTAGTTTTAAAACATAGTTATCTACTGATGTCAGAAAATAGCTATGTTTGATCTATTTTATCAGCACAGACTGCATACAGCCTGTGTAGCGATTAGGGTTAGGTACTGTAGTACTCTGGTACTGTTTACTGCACAGCACTAACATGTATAGTGTGCTCATGTAACAACTGTTGCTTCACATCAGCACAGGTCTTAGAAATCTCAGCAATACAGTATAAACATGAACAGAAGCACTAACACAAGTAAATGCTCTGGTGTGACTTTAAATGCAGACCTTGAGCCAAACACCAATGTCTTGTATATACACACTATATGGAGAAAAGTATTGGGACACCCCCTTCTTTAGAACAGGAAAAAGGCACTTCCAAAACTCTAGCAACAAAGATGGAAACAAAAGAGCATATCGCGAATCATTTGATTAAGATCAGAAAAGCACAACTCGAATCATTATTCAGATTGTGACTTCAGAGCACGTTTCATAAATCTTCCTATTCAGATAGGGGCTTTGGAGCGCCTATCGAGAATCATTTGATTTAGTTCGGCACTTCGGAGCGGGTTCACACTACTCACATTTCAGCAGCTCCAAACTATATTATATATTCACACTGTACAATGCAAGAGATTCAAACATTTCTTCAATACCCAAACTACTAATTTTATCTTCTTGAGGCACATTCAGAATATCACAAATGATAATGCAAAAATTGGAGACTGATTCCAATCAGCAAACTTTAACACACACCAAAATTATGCAGTGCACATACAGCAGTGAAGCGTTACATAATATTAAAGATAAAACTGTAAAAAAATTATACATTTTCATACTGAAAGATATACGTACAAACTACAAAATGAACAGAAAATTACCTGTTAATGTGTAATACAGTGAAGCTAGTCATTTTGGCACAGAAAACATCGTCACACCATTTGCATGACATTTATAACACTTATTTATCTACATTTTTTTACTTTCTCACTCTTAGATCACCAGGAAAATTATTTTTCTGCATGTTGATCAAATGAGGCAGGCACGGAGTAGCTTTTATCTTTGTTTTAATGAATACACTGATCATTAAAGGGTTAGTTCACCCAAAAATGAAAATGCTGTCATTAATTACTCACCCTCATGTTGTTTCAAACCCGTAAGACCTTCGTTCATCTTCGGAACACAAATGAAGATATTTTTGATGAAATCTGAGGGCTGTCTGACTCACCTTCGTTCATCTTCGAACTGAAATGTTCCCAAGTCCAGAAACGTAGCAAGGAGATCTGTAAAATAATCCACGTGACATCAGGGGTTCAACCGTAATTTTACAAAGCTACGAGAATACTTTTTGTGTGCAAAAGAAAAAAAAAAGACTTTATTCAACAATTCGTCTCCTCCGCGTCACCCTGGTGCCATTTTGGAGAATATCCGCTGGACGTAAACAGCGTATGCTGTTCTGTGTCAGCTGCGTCACACGGATACGCTGTTTCTGTTCAGATCAAATCACAACAACGTAGGAAACCGATCCGGCGTGACGCAGCTGACAGAACATATGCTGTTTACGTCCAGCAGATATTCTCCAAAATGGCGAATTGTTGAATAAAGTTGTTTTTTTTTCTTTCTTTTGCACACAAAAAGTATTCTCGTAGCTTCGTATAATTACGGTTGAACCCCTGATGTCACATGGATTATTTTACAGATCTCCTTGCTACGTCTCTGGACTTGGGAACATTTCAGTTGCGTTGCTGTCTATCCAGGGTCAGACAGCTCTCAGATTCCATCAAAAATATCTTCATTTGTGTTCCGAAGATGAACGAAGGTCTTATGGGTTTGAAACAACATGAGGGTGAGTAATTAATGACAGAATTTTCATTTTTGAGTGAACTATCCCTTTTAGGGCTCCATATTTACAAGCACACACATAATCCATGTCTCTCAGCGTGGAGAACGTCGAGGTTTGAATCTGCCCCAGCCAGCTCTGTCCTTCCAGCTGTTCTCTGGGAGCAGCGAGTTCTTCAGTCTGTCTGGCAGTGGCAGGGCTTTCACCTTCTCCTCAAAGGGCCAGGGCCGCAGACAGCGGCGGATGAGTCTCCTGCAAAGGCATCTCAGTGGCAGCGGCCGCTTTTCTTGCTCCTCTAGTCTGCTGTAGAGCTCCAGCAGGGGCTGATGGGTAGAGGCCTGGTCCAGCACGGGCAGTTGTGACCGGGGGAAGAGGGGAGGAACGACTGGAGAGCAGATCCTGGCCAGATCCAACAGCACTTCAGCTTTAGCCAAAACATCAGCTGCCTCGGCAGCATCTAAAGCTTCCCGGAGAGCTTCAGCGAGACGCGTGAGTATCAACTGCTGACCCGTCCAGTAGGACGCGCTGTGGTGAGAGCAGATGAAGGAAGCGCCGTGCTGGAGGAGAAGGGCGGTAAGGGGAAACAGCAAGTCGAAGTTCTCCAGACTGGTGTAGGTTAGCGAATGTTCCCACACTTCCCCGTCGGTAGCGTTCAAGCAGCAGCTGGGATCAGCGCCGTGGCTGATCAGAAGATGTGCCACCCGGGTACAGAAGTTCCCGATCTCCTTCGCATCCTCCACACTGCTGTCCAGAGCCTCCTTCACCAGGAACGTGAGCGAGGACATGGGGGTCTCGCCATCCTGTGTGGTGGCGTTCACATCTGCACCTGCACAGGATTATAAAAACACGATGTTAGCATGAACAAAAAGCAATAAAAAAATATTTTTAAATGCCTTTAAAGAAACATGTAAAATGTAAAAAAAAAAATAGCTGTGGTAAAAATAAAAAATACAATGAATAAAAATAGAATAAAAAATTTATCAAATAAAATAATTACTATGTGTGTGTGTGTGTAAAATCAATTTTAATATAATTATGAATATAATTTCTAACTTTTTAAATTAAATATATTTTTTTTATAAATTAAATGATGAAATAATAATATAAATAATGTGTAACGTTTTATAAAATTACCCTCCCCCCACAAAATATAAAAATATAATTAAAATGTATATATATATATATGTGTGTGTGTGTGTGTGTGTGTATATATATACACATATATAGTTTTTTTACATTTTATTTATTTTTTTTAATTATATGTTTTTTATTTATATATATATATGAAATTATACAATTAAACTTCTTTCAACATTTCAATAATAACTATATAAAATCTTTAAGCTTAATATTTGAAAGAAATGCCATTTTCCATGGTGAAACCATTTTTAAAACACCTATTAATAAACATATCAGAATACAACTTTTCTCTATGTCAGTGTCAGAGCTGATGTTTTACATGCACAGTGACGCACCTCTTTCTAGAAGCAGCTGTATATTGTCCACATTGTTGACTGTGAGTCCATCACTGCTGGCCAGAGCATGAAGCAGTGCAGTTTTTCCTGTGAAAGAGCAAGCATGTGTAACATTTAATAAGAAACCATTCTATTATAACATTCTATTTTATTAGTTAATTTAGCTGAAATACCATTCTTGTCTTTTGCATTCACATCAGCACCCAAATCCAGAAGCACACGCAGACACGGCAGCTTATCCACCTCCTCACCGGCCAGATCAAGAGGGCTGCTTTCATGAATCTATTGCACAGATTAAAAAAAAGCTCATATTTAAACATACACATTTTTTTTAAATGCCTTTACTATATAAAATAGATCTAAAATGTAGAAAATGTCTGTATTCAAAAAAAAATTACAATGAATAAAAAAAAAAATCTAACTGAAAATGTATGAAACAACATAATTACATTTCAATGATTACATAAATTCTCACCCTGTCCCTCTTTTCGATTTCAGCTCCGTGAGATATCAACATCTGCACCATGTCTGGCTTGCTCCTCAACACTGCGATGTGTAAGGGCTTGTAGTACGATACAGGGTCTGGATCCGTAAGAAAAGGGTCTGATTATGTTTCCATGATTATAATGAGGCTTATCAGAATCACCAAATCCTCTACAAACCCTCAAAGTTGAGATCAGCCCCGTAACGCAGAAGCACCTGTGCCACGCTGACCAACCCGAGATCAGCCACCCGAAACAGAGAGTAACTGATTCCCTCCATGAAGACGGGAGACTGAGACTCCCTGTCCAGCAGCTCCACGAGAGCCCCAGAGACGCTTTCTTCATCATCTTGCCTGTCAAATGCAGGATGTCAAAATGCAGTTCACACAACTCTGTCATCATTGCAGTGGGTTTGCTGACCTGTGCTGGTTTTCTCCTTCTATTCCCAGGACACTCATCACAGCATCCACCAGCGGCTGGTACTCGTACACGATCCTCCTGAAGCCGTGCAGGAAAGGCATAGTCTGTTCCCTTTGTGCCACGATCTCTTCACGCTGTAAAACAGCACAGATACATGTCAACCATACAGAAACCATGTTGTCAGTCAGCAAAACATAACATACATAATATTACACAATTTGATACAACACAGATCAATCTGTTTGTGGCAATTAAACAATGTTATAAATTCTTATGGAGCAATTATGGTATGTAGTAATGTATAAATATATTATAGTAAGGCTATAATTATAAGAAACAAACATTGCATCCTCTTTTAAGTTTTAAAATAAAGCACATTCAGAAGAGAGACTCAGTTTATCAGATGGACCACACCTCTGAAAGAGCGGTATATTCACATGAATGAAAATATACATTCATTTAACACCTTATAAGATGTTTTTAAAACGATAACGTCTGAACTAGCGGAAACTAAACCTATGAAGCAGATTTATTCATTTTGTTCGTTGTTTTATGTTGTGGTATCTTTACTTGCTAAGTTAGCTGTCTACCGCTTTCTGTATGAGTCATGCGTTAAGTTAGCCAAAGATTCCGGAAGTGTTTTTAACACAAACATATTTAATAATTTGAGTTTTTTTCTTATGTTTGTTATTTCTTTAGCTTAACGTACCCACTGTAGAACCGGAAGTAGTTCCTCCCACATGTTACAGTGAAATTAACTGTCGTGAGGTGATTTTGTCTTTTCAAAATAAAAGCACACGCAGAAACGTGGGCTTATGAATAAATAATGAATGTTAATTTAAAAATAAAAGCATTTACAAAATAGCAACGAGTCTTTAGTCTTTCATGTAAGTCTCAAGTCACCAAAATTTATAATCAAAAATATTAAAGAAATATTGCAAACTGTATTGAGGCGGATGATACATGGGGCAACTTTTTGAGCAATGCTGCCAGGCAAATTTGGGGAATGTTGCCATCAATGGGCAACCAGGTGAGACACAGGGCCAACACTGATCTAAATAATCCAGATAGAAATGTGTTACCCATTCTCAATGGGAAAGTGCCCAAGCAACTTCCAGGCAAAATTGCTCAAAAAACCTAACACAGGGTAAAGTTTAATAATATTATTCACTTGGGGAGGCCTATTCATATTCAAATTTGAAATATAACTAGGTTTCTTCATTAAACATGTGCGTCAATCTTTAAAAGTGAGAAATATGCATTTTAAAAAAACATGAAGGAAAACAGAAAGACCAAATGTAGCCTAATTCAGGTAGTGTGATTACATTTATTGAGTTCATCAAGGCATAAATACAGTAGTGTTATTGTGCAAGCGAACGCAACTTCATTGACACGCAGACTCAACGTTCTCATTCTCACACACTCACTCACTAAGACACACAAAGGTGAACAAAGTATTATATTAACATCTCCTCTCTCAAGTTGCACATTTATGACCACAAAGCACTAATGAATTTCACAAACAAGCGCCACGTCCCACATAACCAAAAACAGAAACATAAGCCCCAAAAAAACAAAGATAAGACACAAGTTTCTTTCATGGTCCTCATGATTTAGTTCAGACTCCCTCAAACCACAACAGTCACCTTGACATTTACAGTAGGAGTTTCATTGCACATGATTCAAGCTAGCCTGCACGGATGCTGCTGTTGCCAAGGTAGCGAAAGCTTGGAGTTGCCGTGGTTACTTCTGCTCCCGTCTCCAGATGATCACCATTCCGGTGGCGTCAGAGGAGGCCAGCAGGCTTTCGTCGCAGTTGAAGCTCACGTCCAGGACGGGCCCGCTGTGGCCCTGCAGCTTGTTAACAATGGCCTTAGTGTTGCGCTCGACGTCGAAAAAGTAGACGCACGCATCCTCACTGCCGGTGACTGCATAAGGGAAAGAGCAGGATTCACTTACTTTGGCTTTGTTCCAAAACATAGTGAGCTGCCTACATAGGCAACATCCTAACTGAAAAGGAATCTCATAAGTGATTGTGATGTGCCATTCAAACAGAAAATTGATTGATTTCAAAAGTTTGTCATTAACATGACGCTAACCTAAAAACAAATGATTCAAAAGATGTTTTTAATGAATTCATTCGATCAAAAGTGACAGTAAAGACATTTATAATGTTAGAAAAGATTTCTATTTTGAATAATTGTTGTTATTTTGAAGAAAATCAAATATGAAGCACCACAACTGTTTCCAACATCAACAATAGTAAGAAATATTATTTACTTGAGCAGCAAAATCAGCATATTAAGCCGCGGTCACACTAGACTTTGAGCATGCGAATCTGTTGCAACGGTCGTGATATGACGTCACGCTGTGCAGCGTCTTTTTAAAAACTTAAATTCAACGCATAATTTATAATACATCTCAAATGTAAAAATATCCAATCTACTCCACTTTCCTGCAGCACTGCAGTTTTAAATTGATGTTCTTTTAATTCAGTTGCAGTTCAGGTCATGCTGTGACGTATCGATCTGCTGTTGGTCACACAGCTTCACGTCAGAGTTCACCAAGCTTGAACTTTGGCATGCAGCAAAATGCGAAACTTTTGGCACAGGCTTGCGTTTCCGGTCTGACGCTTTGCATGCGTTTGAATGGAAGTCAATGGAAAGAAAAGCACAGTGTGTCCACCCCTTTAGAATTAATTCCGAAGGATCATGTGACACTGAAGTAATGATGCTGAAAACTCAGCGTTGCATCACAGGAACAAACTACATTTTAAAATATATTTAAATAGAAAACCCTTATTTTAAATTGTAATAATATTTCACAATATTATATAGTTTTACTGTATTTTGATCAAATAAATGCAGCCTTTGTGAGCATAAGTGACTTCTTTCAAAAACAAATTTAAAAATCATGCCAAGCCAAAACTTTTGAATAGTAGCGAATATATGACACACAGAACAGAGAGAAATTGCCCGTAATATGATGATTGCGGTCTTACCAACACAGGCTCCCTGTCTGAAGGACATGAGAGGACAGAAGATGCTGTGCAGCGGTTGGGATCCGTGTTGAATGGGGAAACTCCTCTTCAGCTGTAGAGTCCCCTCATTATCCACAACCCTGTCAACACCAGTTCCACACTGATCAATAATCATCTCAGTCAAGAGAAAGTGACAATCTGACTTGTATTCTAACCTGTAGAGCAGTAGTTTGTTGACACAGGTGTTGACGAGCAGCGACGGATCCCGTGCCTCTCGACTGATCCACGAGCGGGCAGAGATACTAGAGATAGGGCTGCCCTCATTCACCACCAGTCTCTTAGCTTTGGTCAGTTTTCCTGTGGAAAAAGAACCTCAGCTTTACATAATCACCAACATAGTAACTATACTCTCATCTCCATTATGTTGTCCAGATTTTCCACTCATGAATGAACGAATGATGCATTTATATAGCGCTTTATTGTGTATTGTTGTACACCCAAAGCGCTTAACAATCATGTGGGGGGTCTCGCCTCAACCACCAACAGTGTGCAGCATCCACTTGGATGATGCCACAGCAGCCACAGGACAACAGCGCCAGTGCGCTCACCACACACCAGCTACAGGTGGAGAGGAGAGAGATAGAGCCAATCAAGTGGTTGGGGATTATTAGGAGGCCATGATTGACAAAGGCAAGGGGGGCAATTTGGCCCGGACACCGGGGTTACACCCTTACTCTTTATGAGAAGTGCCATGGGATTTTTAATGACCACAGAGAGTCAGGACCTCGGTTTAACGTCTCATCCGAAAGACGGTGCTTTTTGACAGTATAGTGTCCCCGTCACTATACTGGAGCGTTACGACCCACGCAGACCACAGGGTGAGCACCCCCTACTGGCCTCACTAACTCATAAGGCTCTTCCAACAGCAACCTAGTTTTCCCGGGAGGTCTCCCATCCAGGTACTAACCAGGCTCAACCCTGCTTAGCTTCAGTGGGCAACCAGTCTTGGGCTGCAGGGTGATATGGCTGTGGCCCTCATGCTTTATGCAAGAAAATATCTTTGTAATGTACCTGTGGCCATGTCAAAGAGGAAGGAGAAAATGCTTCCCCTGTCATCACCAGCCCACAGGATTCTCCCCGGAGCATCAAACGAGAGAGAAAGCACTCGACCAGTGAGTTTACTGGAGCCTCCTTTCACTTTCTTCCCAGTGGAGATGTTCACCACCTGCAGGTGGTGTTTACTGTTGCCAACCTGGGGACGGACAACAAAAGACACATTTGATGCATCATATTACCTGAAAATACTTCACAGCAAAATCATCATGCAGTAGATGGGATTCAGGGTAGGAAATGTGTAACAGACGTTTAAAGACTTTATATTCAAAATTTAAATACATAAAATAACTAGAAAATTAAACAATCTGTAGCTCTCTTTTTGGTCTTGGTTAAAGCTGCAATCAGTCATTTTTCTTTATATTGCAGCATTGTATAAAAGCAAATATTTAGATTACAGATGCTAATGCGTGAGTGAATATTATTTTGAAATATTTTTCCAGAAGTACAATGAATCTCTGTTGGGGTATGTATTACCCCGAAGAGCCTGACATAAGAAATAATTATTAAATAATTTGTTTCGACAAAATCTAAAAAAAATAAAATAAAAGTTTGCATGCGTTTTTTTGGGGGGGATATCATATTTGATACATCAGGCTTTTCAGTGGTCCAAATCAATCAAAATATGCAATTGTAATTTATTACATTTATTTATGATATTTTTCTATATTATATTTTTATGGCCAAAAAGTAAGATGGCATTCTGATTTTAATGTAAATCAATGAGATAATTATAACAGAATAGCAGAATACTTACATAAAATGCATATAAATATCTAGTCACTCTATATCTCCTAATACTGTCCTATTGTTACATGATTTTTAAATGCTTAGTTTTATGATCAAAGCTCTGGTGTTTCAAAACATTTCATGCAATGCAATACAATGATGACTGAGGGATGAACAAATAAACCTTCCTTAAAATCCTGATGCATAATTTTTGATACTCACATTTTGCGACAGTTTTTCTAAAAAAGTATGCATGCTTAATCAAGTAAACCTAACAACAATATCAAAGTTATTTTTCAATTTATTTTGTGTTCACAATGCACGTTATAAATTAATCAAACTCATAGCACCTCCTGAGATTGTCTGATTTTAGTTGGAGTGTTCACATATAAGACAAAATTGCTTTAAAAGCCATATAAAAACAAGAAAGTATAAGAGATATAATCAAATCATCAATTGCATTTCTTGTCAAATGTCATTCAGACATATTTTATAGGTCGCTCACCACAGTGGTTGGTGGGTAAGTAAAATTTCCCATCACTGCACACAAATTACTCTTTTTGGCTGGTGGCACATGTTCATTTCACACCCTAATAGGATTACTGAATGGGCTGATGGTTTTTGTTACAGCAGTCTGCAGTGTTTCATCAGCATAAACAATTCCATATACTCAGGCCAGAAACATTCTGTCAGCTTGAATAATCCCATTCTAACTTTATATTCACCAAAGAATACTGTATTGGGGTTTCTACAAAAATATTTAGTGGCTCAGCTGTTTTCAAAATATGACAATAATAAGAAATGTTTCTTGAGCAGCAATGAGCATATTACATTGATTTCTAAAGGATCATGTGACGCCGAAGACT